GGGGCGGGGGGGGACGGGACACACGACTTGTGCTGTGGCTCACTGTGGTTGCAGACCCTAAAGTGTAATTCTTTGCTTATCGCAGAATAAACCCATCTTTCCTGGAGAAGTATTTGGCAGTCTGTTTGTTTCAGGTCAGTAGAAATAATGCTCTTTCTCTTCATTAGTAAAGATGTATGGACCGATGTGGCACAGCACTTACAAGAAGGGGCTGTGGAACAGATACCTGGGTTTACTTTTACCTCCTGGCTCTGCCAGTAACATTTTGTGTAAGCTTACACTAGTTACATTACCCATCTGTGTCTTAATTTCTCTATCTGTAAAGTGGGGATACATTGGTTCCTACCTCAGAGCTTTTGGGTGGATTAAATGAGTTAGTACTTGTAATAAAACCGCTGTAACGCAAAGAATGTTGCCCACCATCCTGTTGTACAAGGAGCAAGTCATTAGCCACTGCAGTTGCTGACCTACAGGACACCCTGAAAGGAATTCAGGATGAAGAATAGCATGACGCACTCAGTGCTTTGGGAAAACAGGCAAAACAGGCCCTTAGATGGTTAGATACATTTCAGGAAAAAATTTTTATGAACTCAGATTCTTGCATTTTCCCATACTTAGAAAAGCACTACAATCATTAACTGAGATATCTGTTCCTCTTGACTAGCAGTAACCTTCTACTGAGATGTGTGCTTGATTGCATGTGCTCGCTACCGAAAACCATATATGCTGGCCTCTCCCCCTACCTCCACAGAGCTATCTGAGAGGCTGTCTCTTGGTCTGTAGTCCCCAGTAAGGCACTGCATAAACTCAACTTGTAGCTCTTACATTGTGCATTTTTCTTTCAGTCAATAGCACTCACAAAAGTGTCCGGCCTGTAGTGCTTTATAAGTTTTGGTTATTAATATTACTGAGCCTTTGGCATATTTGCCAGGCCCCTGTGCTAAGTGCTGTATCATCAATGCGAGGTGGGAGGCACATCAAGCCAAAGTGTTCTGATGAGAGACTTCAGGAGAGAAGGGGCTTTAAAAGCTATTGTGAAAGCAATAGCTGATACTTATTGAGCGCTTACTATGTTCCAGGCATTGTTTTAGAAATACTAGCTCATTTAATTCTCAAAACAGCTCTATGCTATAGACTATTGCCCTGCATTTGAAAGACAGGAAATAGCAAAGAGAAGTACCCGAAGTCATGTAAACGGGTAGGTATACTGGAAGTCAAGTGGTAGCTGAGTGTTCCAGCACTCTTAAGGACCATGCTTTATATAACGTATGGGATATTTCCAGAACTTTTTCAGTTGACATGGAAACAGCCAAAGTTGTTTCCTCATTTTTTCATGACTGTATTTGGCTATGTTTTAAAGAATGGTTTCCAGAATGTGTGACACAGTCCATTTCCCAGTTAAACCACAGTGCCTGTCAGTATCAGGTTTACCGGGGCTCAACAGCTTTGCTTACTTCTAATCTTTCTTTGTCACATCACCCTCTTGGTTCTCCTCTGTCTCTATTTTCTCAGCTTTTCTTTGACTGCTTGTTCCCTCCATAGAGGTGTTTCCTATTATCTTCTCTGTGTTTACAGTCTTTTTGAACTTTAATTTTCACCTCCGGATGACTCTAAAACAATCTCTCCAGTCTCAGCCTCTCTCCAGTTGCCTGCTGGTCACCTTTACTGGGTACGGCACCACACCTTAAAGACAAGAAGTTCACTATTATCCACAGAGTCAGTCCTCGCCAAGACTCCCCTATTTACATTAATATCATCTTCATTCTTCCAGGCACCCAGACTCTTCCCTTTGGCTGCCCTCATATCTAGTCATCTGTCAAGAGTTCTCTTGATTAAGTAACATGATATCTCATCTTTCTGGATTAAACTGAAGCCAAGTCCCCCTAAAATCAAGTTACCTTGCTGAATTTATGATTTTTTATTTTTGAAATTTTTATTGAAATATAGTTGAGTTACAATGTTGTTTCAGGTGTACAGCAAAGTGATTCAGTTATACATATATATTCTTTTTTAGATTCTTTTCCATTATAGGTTATTACAAGATACTGAATTGAATTTATGATTAATCGCTCTATCCAAAACTTTATTTCTTTTCTTTGTCCCATCTGACCATTAATCTGATGAACTAACTAACTGAACACTAATCAGCCAGAGTCAGATGACTAAAATTGCTGTTGTAGATATCACCGTTAACTACAAACTCAGGTTGTTTCTCCAGGATAAGCTAAGCTAATAGACCCCAGAGCCATGGACCACTTGCCTGAGAATCATAAGCCAGGGACATCCTTATTCCCCAAACTATGATTAAGAAATGTCACAGAAATAACACAGAATAATGATTAATCCCAGCCTTTCTGTTCTTCCCCTTTAAAAAACCCGTCACTCAAAGACCAAGTTGGAGTGGTTCTGAGACTTGTAATAAATCCTGACTTTGCTGCAAACACCTGCTGCCAGAGTTTGGCTTTCTATGCCACAGGCACATGAGCCATTGCTGGTTACAAAACCACGGTTTGATTTTTACTGCCTCCCTGGGTCATCCCAATTGAGGTATGTTCTACCACTTCAGTAATCTCTTTTTCAATCTCTTTTTTTTTTTTAAATAAATTTATTTATTTTTGGCTGCATTGGGTCTTCGTTGCTGCATGTGGGCTTTCTCTGGTTGCGGCAAGCGCGGGCTACTCTTCGTTGTGGTGTGCGGGTTTCTCATTATGGTGGCTTCTCTTGTTTTGGAGCATGGGCTCTAGGTGAGCAGGCTTCATTAGTTGTGGCGTATGGGCTCAGTAGTTGTGGCTCACGGGCTCTAGAGCACAGGCTCAGTAGTTGTGGCGCACGGGCTTCGTTGCTCCGCGGCATGTGGGATCTTCCTAGACCGGGGTTCGAACCTGTATCCCCTGAATTGGCAGGCAGATTGTTAACCACTGCATCACCAGGGAAATCCCCACAAGTACAGTTCTGATCAAGCCTTTACCTTACCAAAACTTTTCAAGAAATTCCCTAATTTTAAGCTATTTTTGTTTAGTATTTCTCTTCAGGTGTTAAATCTGCAGTGAGGAAGTTATTGGAAAATAACTCATGTTAGAATACAAATTGTTGAAGACACAAAATGGCTTGGATCAGAGGACTATTGGAAGCTAGGTTTCATATCTTCCACCACTTTTCTCTGAGCCCAGCAAGTTACTTAGTGTCCTGTGCCTCTTCTTACTATGAAACGGAGGAGTAGTACAGCCCATGACCAAAGGGTCTTACCATTAACCCGTCATGCACACATAAGGAATCCAGAAGAAGGAGCCAGAAGATCTTTACTCAGACGTGAGTAGTTTATGTCAATCTATAAGAAACCCACAGTCAACTGGAGATGTCAGCTGGAGATTCAGAAGGGATTTCTCTCTTGTATTTAACTCACCCGCTCCCCACGTAACAGGAGTAGCTAATTTCTTCATCCTCCAGGTATCCTAGACCTCCATCCCCTACGGGTTGGCAGAGAAATCTTTCACCCCTTTACATTTTATCTCTCTCTCTCTCTCCCCTTTGGGTGGATTAATGACCTAAACATTGAAAACAATAAAGAAAATATGAGAGAAGAATTTTACAACCTTAGAGAATGGGGAAAGAGACTTCTTAGCAGGATATTAAAATTATACACTGTAGAGGGAAAGAAAAAATTTAAATGCTTCTCAATTTAAAACTTCATTCCTTATTTAGAGTTTATAATAAAAAAGTTACTTGTTTTACTCTCTTATGTATCACTTACATCTGGTTCCTTGATAACCTCTGACGTAGTGTTCAGCATCCCCTGGCAGATCCTAGAAAGATCTCAAAGGTTAAAAACGTAATGGAATTTTGCAGGGGTAGGGAGCATTTGAGTCTTAGTCATCTGCCATAGTCGGAGTGTCAGGGGAACCAGTTTCGTCACTGAATCTCTCACGTCTTCTGAGAAGCCCCTTTGGGTACAGTAGTATCCTATCCCGATCACACCTGAAAGGGGAAAAAAGTCATAACATTTTGAGTGACAGTTCAAATCACCTAAATGAAAATGAAAAACATTATAGTGTAGAGTACAAATATAATTAAACATTTTAATAGTTAACCACATATTAAAGAAGTTTCTGTTAAAAAATAAAATAAAATAAAACTTCATTCTTTTGAAAGGCACAATAAATAAAGTTGAAAGACCTGGAAGAAGGAATTCTTCAATATATATAATAGACAAATAAGTAAAAGACATGAATTGGAAATCCTTAAAAAGGAAACTTGAATAGC